AGCCATGGGAGGGAAGGACGCACAGATCTGTGCAGGCAGGCAGGCAGGAAAGAACGAATAAGCGAGGGAAAACGAGAAGGAAAAAAGGAGGAAAAGAGGGAGAGAAGGAGCAGGGGCGGGACTTGTTGCATGTGCCTGCCCCCTTGGGCTCTTTACTGCCGGAGCTCCGCTCCTGTGCGCTCCTGCAGGCAATGACCCCTGAAGACTAACACAATTTGTGGCAGGGGAGGAGCTTTCCTGAGTCACTGCTCACCGCTCAATGCTGCTTCCCGGCCACAAATTCTGTTAGTCTTGAAGGTGCTGCTGGACTCTTGCTCTTTTGTACTGCTACAGACAGACTAACACGGCCACTCATCTTGATCTCTAAACCAAGAGGAGGAGATTTCCATAGGGCGTCCAAAAACATTTCTAGAGTTTGGTTTACTTGCAGAGGAGCTGTGGCTCAGTGGCAGAGCCTCAGCTTTGCACGCAGAAGGTCCCCGGTTCAGTCCCCGGTACCTCCAGTTAAAAGGATCAAGTAGTAGGTGATGGGAAAGACCTCCGCCTGAGATCCTGGAGGGTGGTTGCCAGCCATAGCAGACAATACTTTGATGGCCCGATGGTCTGGTTCAGTAAAAGGCAGCTTCGGGCGTAGTTCTGCCACTTAACAGCAGATGAGGAGGTAGACAGTGCATTTCTGGAAGGCAATACTTTACCCTGCACGAGAAGTCAAGGGACTAGATGCTTGCCTCTCTATGTAAAAATAAATAAATCCCTAGAGGCACAGAAAACTAGCATTACAAACTAACTCCACAAAAATCGTAAAGATAATGTTATTCTTGAATGCAGTCCAAGTTCACTGAGGTGACTAAACACTCTTAACAATGTGATTTCCGGAGTGATGTTCACGTTTTGTTTTCTTCATCAGGTAATCTTCCTCCTCCTCCTCCAGTTCCAGTCCAATGTTATCGCCTAGGGTCAATGACCATTACGAGTGGTAGAAATTCTCCTCAGAACATAAAAAGACTGTCGATAACGCATGTCAATGGAGACTGCTTTGACATATCTCGGTTCTCGTTCAAGGCACCAAGCGTGTTGTTTCCATATGGGACAAACCGCTCCACACGCTTTTGATGCTGGATTGTAGAGGCCAGTGGTGGCGAACCTATGGCACGGGTGCCAGAGGTGGCACTCAAAGCCCTCTCTGTGGGCACGCGTGCCATCGTCCCAGCCAGGCCCAGACCATCATTAAAGTGTCGAATTCTCTGCCAAATAATTTCAAGTAAATGAAAGCATTTGGGATTGCGTTCCTTCCTTTGTTTGGATCGTCTTAAGTTAATGTATGAGTTGTTTTTTTCTAAAGTAAAACCTCAGTATTCAGGTTAAATTGCCGTGTTGGCACTTTGCGATAAATAAGTGGGTTTTGGGTCGCAGTTTGGGCACTTGGTCCCTAAAAGGTTCGCCATCACTGGTATAGGCCCTTTGGCTGTATAAGCAGATGACTTTCTTGTGAATATATAATTGTGAGAAATGAAGACAATGCCCTGTCTAGGAATTTAATAAGTCTTTACTGAATACAAACAGCCTTCAATTTTTATAAAGTATATGTATATTTGTTGAGGTGCCTATTTCACAGTATTATTTCCTGACAGCTATCGTATATTACCGCGGTTTCCCAATCCATGGTTTGGTTAGAAAACTAGTGTGGCAGGATATTCCCTGGCGTGCCTGTTTTCTGTTGGCTGGCATGTCTTTGTTTATCTGGCAGGTCATTCAGTATGGTGCAGTTCGAACAGGATTATTTGCTATTTATGAGAGTCGGGCCTTGATCCGAGTTGCATCCAGGCAGGATCTGACTAGTTAAACCTGAAATGTTTTTCCTTAATATTATGCTTGACGTAAAAGATAAGAAAGTTAAGCACTGAATTATACATCTAGTTATGGCAGCAAGAATTCTCTATTCTAAGTATTGGAAGAAATCAGAGATGCGGAGAATGAACTTTTGATTAAAAAAACTGAAAGCACAGAAATGGATATATCGTCGGACTTGTTGAAAGACTGAGATAAACGAAATGTGAGAGAGAATTGGATACCATTTTATGACTGGGTGGAAAGAAATTCCGAAGACCAGGAACAATGAATATAACTTTAGCTGTTGTAGATTTTCCGGGTTGTATGGCTGTGGTCTTGGCATTGTAGGACCTGATGTTTCGCCAGTAGCTGTGACTGGCATCCTCAGAGGTATAACACAGAAAGACGGAGTACTCTCTCTGTGTCAAGGTGAGAAGAAAAATGGTAGGCAGGTAATTTATATCTACTCAGGAAGGTGGGGTAGGGCTGAGTCATTATCTTGTAGGAGTTCCCCAAGCTATGAACATGCTAATGGAGGAGCTTTCCTGAGGAGGTTCTTTTGTATATGGATTGTTTCCTGAGGAGGTTTCCTGTTTCCTGTTTCCTGAGGAGGTTCTTTTGTATGTGGATTGGCTGTTGAAATTCTAATCTTATCTGTACTCCATCTTTCTGTGTTATACCTCTGAGGGTGCCAGCCACAGCTGCTGGCGAAACGTCAGGTCCTACAATGCCAAGACCACAGCCGTACAGCCCGGAAAATCTACAACAGCTAATGAACTCCGGCCGTAAAAGCCTTCGACAACTTAATGAATATAACTATTATAAATTTTGAGTAACTCCAACTTGAATTGAACTGAATATGTCTCTTTTCAGGAATCATAATAGAAGATTTGAGCGATTTGAATAATTGACATTCGTTTCAGTAATTACTTGAATGAAAGAGAGCTGGGAACAAAGAATCAAGATGGAAAATTTGTAACAGCTGTTATATAAGCTTGATGGAATTTCCCTTTATGTCTTATTATCCCATCCCCTGTGTCCTTCCTGCCCTATAATGTTTTTAAACCAAATAAAAAACTTGTAATAGTAAAAAAAGAAAAGAAAAAAGGGGATCTGACTAGTTCATTTCCTTCAGCCTCGACCCCACCATGCAGCGCAGAATCCGCTTTTAATTTTGCCCCCCCCCTTCTCCGTGTGCGTCTGTCTCCCTCCTCTCCTCCTTTCTCTTCCTTCTCCTCCCCAGAGAAACAGCAGAGTAAGGCCGGTGGGAACGAAACCACGCCCGCGGAAGGGGAGCCCTGCGACCACCATCTCGACTGCCTCCCAGGTGGGCCTCCGTGGTCATGAGGACCGGCTCCGGCAGGAGAGGCGCATACAAGGGAACATGCAGGGCTCTTTTTGTAGAAAAAGCCCAGCAGGAACTCATTAGCATAATTGGCCACACCCAACAGCAGGAACTCATTAGCATATTAGGCCACACCCCAGACAGCACAGCTCATTAGCCCATTAGGCCGCACCCCCATGTTACCAAAAGTGTGGTCATCCAACCACACCCACCTTTTGCTTCTTTTTCTGTTTACCTTGTTTGTTGTCAAAACCCAGGGCTTTTTTTTGTAGCGGGAACTCCTTTGCATGTTAGGCCACACACCCCTAATGTAGCCAATCCTAATGCGTTCCTGCTGTTGGGTGTGGCCTATTATGCTAATGAGTTCCTGCTGGGCGTGGCCAACTCGGGAGCCAGCCGGAACTCCGTTCCTCTGCGTTCCTGCCCAAAAATAGCCTTGGGAACATGTAGGAGCTAGGGATGCCAGCCTCGAGAGTGGCTGGAGACATCCTGGGATTACAACTGATCCGCAGGAGACAGAGATATGTTGCCCTGGAGAAAATGGCCACTTCAGAAGGGCGGACTCTATGGCATTTCACCCCGTTGAAGTCCCTCCTTTCCCCAAACCCCGCCCTCCCCAGGCTCCGCCCCTAAAGTCTCCAGGTATTTCCCGACCCGGAGCTGGCAACCCTGCATCTCTGGAAACACAGATCGTTTACTTAGTTAGAAATGTCCGCATCGCCTCTCCAGATGATCGGCCTTCGGTGCCTCATGAAAACAAATGGACAAACTGAAATAGCAAATCAAGAAGACTGTTTTTAAAATTTGGCAAAATTAAGAGCATAGCAGTGAAACCGTCAGAGGTGTCGAACTCATTTGTTATGCCTCCCAAACACTTCTGTGCTGGGGTGTGATACGGCAAGGCCCTGGGGAAGCCAGTGTGGTGTAGGGGCTAGGGTGCTGGGCTACCACCTGGGGGCTTGGTTGGGTGACCTTGGCCCAGGCATGTGCTCTCACCCTAGCCAACCTCGCACGGTTGTTGTGGGGTGAGAGCAGTGTAGCCGCTTTGGGTCCCTTGTAGTGGGGGAAATACACAAAGGAAAGACACGGTTAACGCTGGGTCCTTCCCGATTCTTCTCGATTTGGCAGGCTGCTGCTGCGATTTGAGGGAGCATCTCTGCAAGCCCCACAATCGCGGCCTGAACAACAAATGTTATGACGACTGCATGTGTGCAGAAGGTGAGAGTCCAACCCAGGGATCATTTCGTAGACAGAGGGGTGCAGGAGCTCATTCGCATAACTCATTAGCATAACTCGTTTGCATATGCCACGCCCCCTGATATCACCGGAAGTGTGTCAGAAGGCAACACCCACCGCTCTGGCGCCACTGGACTGTTTTTGGATTGCTAGCTATTGGGGGGGGGGGAATGTGCAGCTCTGTCCTTGCAGAGGAGGGAGAGCTTCTACCTGAATAAACCTTGGTCTTAAAGGTGCCACTGGACTGTTTTGGACCCGGGGCCGGTGGGGGGGCTCTGCAACTTACCTGGCTGCTTCTTGCTCTGACTGAAGGCTGCTGGGAGCAAAGGGTGGGGCTTGTTGCATGTGCCCGCCCCCTGGGCTCTGTATGCCGGAGCTCCGCTCCTGTGCACTCCGGCAGGAAATGACCCCTGGTCTGACCTCTTTCCAGTGGGACAAAGCCTGAGGCTGTCCTCTTCCTGGGGTCACAGAACTGGGGGGACAGTCTCTATTACAGGTATTGCAGTCAGAGTCCAAGTCAGGTCTGATGATTCTAGGGCCAGGCTAGAACAGCCAAGAGAGGTGAGCTACGTGACCAGCCTAGAGATGTAAAATTTCTGGAAATTATGAAGCTTGGAAAACTCCCCACTACAGGGACCCGAAAAGGAAATTTTCAGAAAACATTGAAAAAAGGCTGGGGTTCTTGTGTTTTCCAGATTGAAAGTCATTCTGTTACTTTAAGAACATAAAATATGACTATGGACAATTTTACTTGGCATGACATGATCACAACTAGCCTATTAAAAATATAGTGTATCCAAACAATGATTACAAACAGAATTTACTTTTAAAATAATATTTATTTGTAATTGTAACAAATGGAGCAACAATCTCCTGAACTGTTTACTAGTTTATGTGGAACAGACAAAAAAAAAAAAACCTCCACAAAACAATTTTTAAAAACCCAGAAGTAACAATTATTCATATTTCCTCTCCACAGTATTAAATAAAAATTTAAAAACCCACTCTCATAAAAAGAATTGAAGAGAGGGGAAGTGTATAGAAGGGAGTGTGGGACTAAGTTTCAATGAATGGGCATGACATTTAATCAGAATCATTTTCTGAGCTATAATTATCAGTATCAGTTTCAGTCTCTGCTTCTGCAGCTACTTTGTTATGTCTGTCATTATCCATTGGAGAGTTCAGTTTGTAACCTAGGACTTGCTTGTCCTCAGTGCACAGAAATTAGATCAATCTGATACCATACATATTTTTTAGAAATGATTTGGAAAATATTTGAACACCTTGTCATAAAATATTCTATTCATCATGTTAAAATAAAACGTTCCATAATCAATTTTTTTCTTTTCCAGCCTAGGGCGCCAGACCTTCAGAAGGGCCTTAATTCAGCAATGAGACACACAGAAGTAGTTTGGCAACTCAGTGGTTAAGAACATAAGAGAACATAAGAGAAGCCAATGTTGGATTAGGCCAATGGCCCATCTAGTCCAAAACTCTGTGTCATACAGTGGCCAAAAATACCAGGTGCCACCAGGAGGCCAGGACACTATTGTCTCCCCAAGCACCAAGAATACAGAGCATCACTTGCCCCAGACCGAGAGTTCCTTTCTGTACCTTGTGACTAATAGCCACTGATGGACCTCTGCTCCATATGCTTATCTAATTCCCTTTTGAAGCCGTCCATGCTCGTAGCCACCACCTCCTGTGGCAGTGAATTCCATGTGTTAATCACCCTTTGGGTGAAGAAGGACTTCCTTTTATCTGTTCTAACCTGACCGCTCAGCAATTTCATGGAGTGCCTACGAGTTCTTGTATTGTGAGAAAGAGAGAAACGTACCTCTTTCTCAACCTGCTCTATGCCATCTTGTAAACCTCGATCATGTCACCCCTCAGCCGTTGTTTCTCCAAGCTAAAGAGCCCTAAGCGCTTTAACCTTTCTTCATAGGGAAAGTGTTCCAACCCTTTGATAATTCTAGTTGCCCTTTTCTGCACTTTTTCCAATGGTTGTGTGATGGCAGCCCATGGGTTCCAGAATTGGTTTCCAGGGGACTGTTCAGCATACAATAGGACAGAAGGTGGGGACAAAAGGTTACATACATACATAATTTTTTAAAAAAGGAGGCCAGTTCTGCTGTAGCAGTTGGCAGGTATACACCTCTGGGCCAAAATTCTGGCCTGTGGAAGGCCCTTAAAGAAAAATTCGTCCTTCGTAAGGAAAGCTCTCGGGGGAATTGGCTCTGTCCCAGAATTCTTTTCTCACCTATTTCCCCCAATTCTCTGTCTGCCACTTCAGGTCTGCGCTGTTACGCCAAATTCCACCGCAACCGGAGGGTGACCCGGCGAAAAGGCCGCTGCGTGGAGCCAGAGTCCGCGGATGGAGATCAAGGATCGTTTATTAATGTCTAGAGAGATGCTGGGAAGGTCTTCTTGGCCAGAGGCGTTAATTTATAACTAGCAGTGGGGATGGGAACGGAAGGGCAACCGGATGGCTTTGATGCTGTTGACCGAGAGCAGCAGTGAATCTAATGCAGTTTCCCTGAAACATCTGCTGGTTAAATCTCACCCCACCCCACACACAACCAATAAGAGTTGGAGGCAGTTTTCTCTCTGACACCAGAGAGGGCTGACTTTTATGACCTGAATAAATTTTACCTGTTGCCTGCTGCATCTCTGTATGAGTGTCTGCTCTAGGTGCATTTCCATTGCGAGGTCATTCTGTTGGATTAGGCATGACTGGATTCAACGCACGTACCCAGAGACAGGGCAGAGTTTACCTGCTGGAGGTTGATGGGAAGGAGGTGAGGCTAGACCAGTGATGCATCCAGAGAGGCAGCAGGCAATTCTCTTAGGGCATACTGGTACAGCCCAGCACACAGTTTGGGAACTTCTGATCCAATGTTCACACTTGTGGCCCAATCCTGGGAGTTACTGCACTGAGGTTTTGGCTCAGGTATGATGGGGCATGCAGGTTAGTACGTGGGATAAATAGACACCTACTGAGAGCCAGTTTGGTGTAGTGGTTAAGTGTGCGGACTCTAATTTGGGAGAACCAGGTTTGATTCCCCACTCCTCCACTTGCACCTGCTGGTGTGACCTTGGGTCAGTCACAAGCTCTGGCACAGCTGTCCTTGAAAAAGAGCAGTTTGTGTCAGAGTTCTCTTAGCCCCACCCACCTCACAGGGTGTCTGTTGTGGGGAGGGAAAGGGAAAGGAGTTTGTAAGCCGCTCTGAGACTCTGAGTGAAGGGCGGGGTATAAATCCAATCTCTTCTCTTCTTCTTCTAATGTGTGAGGATCCAATCCAGGGTAGGCATTGGTGGAGTTGCACCAATGGATCTCTGAACAGGACTGTAGGGGCAGGACCCAGACAGAACATGAAGGGACATCGTGGTCATTCAGGTGACAATCAGGGCTCTTTTTGTAGAAAAAGCCCAGCAGGAACTCATTAGCATAATAGGCCACACCCAACAGCAGAAACTCATCAGCATATTAGGCCACACCCCTGACCGCACCGCTCATTAGCACATTAGGCCGCACCCCCATGTTGCCAGAAGTGTGGTTATCCAGCCACACCCACCTTTTGCTTCTTATTCTGTTTACCTTGTTTGTTGTCAAAACCCAGGGCCTTTTTTGTAGCAGGAACTCCTTTGCATGTTAGGCCACACCCCCGTAATGTAGCCAATCCTAATGAGTTTCTGCTGTTGGGTATGGCGCATTATGCTAATGAGTTCCTGCTGGGTGTGGCCAACTTGGGAGCCAGCCAGAACTCCGTTCCTGTGCGTTCCTGCCCAAAAATAGTCCTGGGTGACATGCCAAGAAAAATCTAAATTCCATATCCTGAACTGGTTATGCAATAGGCCACAAATTCCTCCTCGTTTTGCTTATTTTGAATTAATTAATCTTATTCTAAGACCGGAAGGCCTGGCGGGATCTGGTCCATGGGGTCGCGAAGAGTCGGACTCGGCGGTGCGACTGAACAACAACAACAATCTTATTCTGTTAGTTGGGAGTGGGGGGGGGGGGGGGGGGAGCCCCAAAACAAAATACTTGAGCTCCATCCCTTGAAGTCTCGCCCTTCCTCCATTCATTGTCAAGCTTTTGACTAGGAACTTGAGATTCTAAAAATCCCGAATGATATGCCCAGAACAGGAAATTTGCTTCTAAGTGGACAGGGGCCATCCCCGGGTTCTTTCCTTTCTCTCCTTCAGGGGATTTTCTGTGTCAGAATCCAAGAGCTTCTCTACCAGGTTACAGCAGCAAAGTTGTCCAGTTACCCCTTCTGCTTCCAATTTTTTAATCGTTATTTTTAGGAGACTTGAGGGTGGGGGGGTTCATTTTCCAGATGAAAAAGGGAGGGGGAAAGTTGCTGGTAACGGGAGAAGTTAGTAAATGCTGTGATGTGGTTGCATGTTTTATATTTTGATGAGCTGTAAATAAAGATATAGTTATCCTTCGCAAGGTCCGTCTCCCAACTTTCTTTCTCCCCCCAGACAGAGGGGCAACTGGGGGGGGGGATTTTGCATTTCTTTAAAATGTTCAAACCATCTCTAAGCCTCAGCAAGATTCAAGTGCAGTAAGTACCTTAGAGACCAAGAAGAATTCCAGGGCATAAGCATCAAAGAATCAAAGATCCCTTCATCAGATACAAGTAACTTTACATCCTGGAAACCTTGTTGGTCTTTAAGTGGCACTGGGTTCAAATCTTGCTATTCTATGGCAGACCTACAGGGTTGTCCACCTGGAACTGTACAAGCTTCAGTCTCCTTATTCCTCTCAGTCGGCCTGTGCCCCAAGTATCACCAAAAAGCCCCTTTCTCATCAGGTCTTGAGGGTTGGGGTTGCGCAATGGCTAGAGCATCAGACTAGAACCTGGGAGGACTGAATTCGAATCCCTCGCTGGACCACAGGAGCCCACCAGGTGTGCCTGTCACAATCTCTCAGCCTAACCTGCCCTCACAAGGTGGTTGCTGCGAAGAGGAGGGAACGATGTGAAAAATGGCTTTGAATCAGGGAGAAAAGCCGGATATTAATAAGAATAGTAATAAAAACTTGATATGACTTTTACCCTTAGCCAAAATTGACTTTCCCACTCAGCATCCATGGCAGCTTTTCAGCATCCTGCAACTGAGTCCCCCACCCCACTACAGAACCTGGTATTTCTGGCCACTGTGTGACACAGAGTGTTGGACTGGATGGGCCTTTGGCCTGATCTAACATTGGTGTCTCTTATGTTCTTATGTAATGTCCTTGCTTGTCCTGGATGCTGACCGAGGCAGCAACAAAGCTGTTTCGAAACTCTGTGTAGATATTGGTGTCTTCTTCTACTTCTGTTTTAGGGAACAAAATCAAAGAAGGAGGAGGAGGAGGAGGAGGAGATTGGATTTATACCCCGCCCTTCACTCGGAGTCTCAGAGCGACTTACACTCTCCTTTCCCTTCCCCTCCCCACAACAGACACCCTGTGAGGTAGGCGGCGCTGAGAGAGCTCTCTTGAGAACTGCTCGTTCAAGGGCAGCTTTGACAGAACTGTGGCTTGCCCAAGGCCATCCAGCAGCTGCGAGTGGAGGAGTGGGGAAATCAAACCCGGCTCTCCCAGATTAGAGTCCGCGCACTTAACCACTACACCAAACTGGTTAGTGGGAAACGATTTACTCTGCATTAAACTTGTCAGCCCATTACACTCTTCCATCCCAAAATATTTACTTTCAGAGTATACAGGAGGAAGAACCTGCCTCTCTCGTGAGTCCCTGTTCCCTGTGTTTCTGCACAAGACGCTGCTCTGATTGACTGGAGTCAAAGCAATCACTAAGGCAGATGGGCAGCCTCCCCGAGGACATTCAGTCAGAAAGAGGGGCGTCAAGAACTACTCTTTCAAGAACAGCTCTGACAGAACTATGGCTTGCCCAAGGCCATCCAGCAGCTGCAAGTGGAGGAGTGGGGAATCAAACCCGGTTCTCCCAGATTAGAGCCTGCACACTTAACCACTACACTACAAAATAGCGCAAATTACACCAGTAAATGTTAACTAATCCAAGTTCACAATCCATGTCCTGGAGAGTAAAATAGTCCTTGGCGGCGTCTGGCCCAGGGAAAGTCTTCCGGGCTCATTTCCCACAAGCGCCAGATCTTGAAAACAAAACCAACTGAATCTGATTTGCAGAAGGTTTTGATTTGAGGAAAGGCATTCAGGCCAGCCGTTGAGGCATTTGAGCTCGCTCACCAGCCCAAGGGTTCTCCACCAAGCAGGCGGAATTCACACCTGCCCCTGAAAGAGCCTTTCTTCTGCCCCTGCGAGTGCTGCACAGGTGAAAAACAGAAAGGAAGTGTTCTATGCACGTGTGCAAGGTCACAAACAGACAGATTTGTACGTGCATGTGCAAAACAAGCCGCTCGAGACACACTGGTGCCCGAGTGGAAAACTGAAAGGCAGTTTTCAATGGGCTTAAGCCAGGTTTCTGAGTTGCAGGCCGGCTGGTTGATTTCAACCATCATTTGCTTTGCACTGGATGCCTGATTTCTGCCTGGATCACACGCGGGCAGTCACAAAACAGAACCCCCCCCCCCCCACGTTCCCCGCTTATCTCTTCCGCAGGGCTCCGGGTGCCCCCCCCATCTGATCTGCAGACCCAAACAGCGTGGGAAGCTGTGTCCAGCCAGTTAAGCCACCCAGCACAGAACAACACTGTAGCTGCTTGCCCACAGATTAAAACCTCTCTCTGGCCTTGGGTGGCAAAAGAGGGGGGAGTGGAAAGGGGGGGCTCTGAATGGGTGCCTGGGTTTCATCCCAAAATCTGTTTGCGAGTTCAGTTGTCAACCCTGCAGAAAGGAATTGCCTTTCAGGATGCATGTGCAGAGGACATTTCCCTTTCAATTGAGAGTAACCACAGAGTGAGGGTTTGGAGGGGAGCCACAGCAAATGGTGGGGTCAGCCCCGGGGGCTCTCTTTTTATTTAAATCCTGGGCCCTGCTCAAAAACCCATTTAATTTTATTTTTTTTGAAGCTGTTTGTTGCAAGGGTCACTTGGCATACACTCAGAGGTATTTTGGCTTTTTAAAAATAGGGGAGTTCCAGTGGGTAAAAAGCACTCTGTACATGGGCAGAAGAACTTTAGCTGCAGTTCTGGGGAGGGATTGCTCAACTCAATGAGAAGGCATTCCGCATATGCTCAGAAGCTCTTTAAGGTAGTCCCTTTCAAAGATGGAATCAGTTTAATTTGCTTGGAAGGGGAGAAGAAATGCACTCTGCACGTGCTCAGAGTATCACATCCTGAATGACAGTTATTCCGTGGCTCAGTGGTTGTAATGGTTCATTTTGCATTTACCGATGACACACCATCCAAGAGCCAGTGTGGTGCAGTGGTTAAGAGTGCAGGACTAGTAGCTGGGAGAACTAGGTTCGAATCCCCCCTTGAGCCATGGAAGTTCACTGGGCGACCTTGGGCCAGTCACACTCTCTCCGCCTCACCTACCTCACAGGGTTGTTGTGAAGATGAAATGGAGGCGAGAAAAACAATGTCAGCTGCCTTGGGGTCCCCGCTGGGCAGAAAGGCGGGGTAAAAATGAATTAAATTTAAAAAAACACTATTAAAAGAAAAAGTTTGCCGCCAATCCCTGACTCTAGTGAGGTGAGGCGTTACGCCGCCCTCTGCACGCGCTCAGAGGGCCCTCCGGCGGCTCCCGCCCCCCCC